CCAGGGGCACCGGAGCAGCTTACGAACGGGGCTTTCTCGCCCCGGAGCTCGCAGGTAGCAATCCGCTACCTCGACCTCCGGGGCGAGAAAGCCCTGTTCGTAAGTGCGGATCCGACATAAGTCGGATCCGCGTAAGTCGGGGACTGCCTGTATTCATGTTTATGTTGATTTTGACATAATATTACTGTAATCTGTACTACCGTGGCACACTTTCAAATTGCCCCTCAAAAGAAGCAATGCTTTTTTGATTATTTGACTCTCTCTGCTTTCTTAAACTGACAAGTACAAGTGGATAAGAAATGTCTGTCTGTTAAAATTTAGAGCTACAGGGTCATTCAGTGAAATATAATAAACTTTGTATGTCTCTTTAGGTCCTTTCTCTTCATTCATTAATCTCTTGTCTCCACTATCCCCCAGTAAGCTTCTGTAACTATGACATCAGAAAACTTTCTATAAGAAAATGAGTAGTTTCTCTTCAGAGCTTTACAGAAATCTTAATTTTCTAGGGCCCTTTTAACCATGTAATTGCAAGAGATTCTTTTTTAAAGTACAAATGCTTCTGTTCCAAGCTACAGACTTACTTATTGCCTGCCTGTCTATCTAATCTATCTAAAAATGATAGAGCAAATCAAAAGCAGATATCCTTTGGAAAATATATAAAATCTTAATATCTGAAAATTAATTTGAATGTAAGGGACTGATGGATTTATTTTTTTTTCCAGATAATAAATGTAGACCTGGTCCATATTGAAAGCCGAGCTAATGACATTGTTAAATCAGATAGAACTATTCAGCTGGTGCTAGGACAGCTTATAAATGAGTGAGTATCTTTAGGAGAAATTTGTACAGGGTCCAGAGATATGACTTTAGATGTTCGGGTGCAATATAACTTTAGTCTTCCTTTGTTAATTATGCTTTAGAGTTTATTCTTGGGGCAGAGAATAGACATTCATGTGCTAACCCCTGTGACACGATGAGCACCTTCATTTCCCATAAAAGTCAATATTCAGTTCCTGTTGAGAGGAAAAAATGTGTGTGTTTGAATGAGGGGGTGGGAAGTTATTACTTATTGTTCCATATAAGGAAACAAATGAACAGGTTGCAGGCTAGTGGGTTGATTAGAAGAATATTAAAAATACATTTTCCCTTTAATACGTGTACTGAATTTCAATATCCTATCTCTGTTTTACAGTACAGGTTGTACCTCTAAAACTCAACATTCTCTGGTCTGGCAACATTGGATCATGGATGCTCCTGGACCAGAGAGCCTAGGAGCCTAAGGGCAGGATAAATAGCCAGGGCTGGGGGGGAAACAGGGTCAGAGCTAGGGCTGGAGCCCCTGGAGCCAGCAGCAGTGCGGAGCCAGGACTGGAGTCCCTTGGCAACCACACAGATGCATGGGTCTAGAGTCTCCTGACAATCCCCAGGAGTATGGGGCCAGAGCCCCCGCACCAGCCTCCTGGAGCATGGGGCTGGGATTGGAGCCCCATGGCTGCCCCTAAGAATGTGGGACTGAGCCAGAGCACCGTGGCAGCCTGAAGCAGCCCGGTACCAGGGCCGGAGTCCCTGGGCAGCCTTTCTTGGCATCGGGCAAAGCTCCGCAGCAGCCCGTGGGAATGCGGGGCTGGGGCCGGAGTCCCTTGGCAGCCTCCTGAAATGTGGGGCCAGAGCCCCCACAGCAGCCCCCCGGAGCTGGGACCGGAACCCTATGGCAGCTCCTGGGAAAACATGGCAGGAGCTGGAGCCCGTGCTGCTCAGGGAGCCGGCAGCAGCTGGCCAAGTAGCCCTGCAGTTTGGGGTGGAGGGTGAGGCATGGTGCATGCTGGGGCAGCCTGATGGCAGTCTGGGTTTTAGGGCTGATGGCAGACCTCCCCTTTTACAGCAAATTCTCTTGTTTGGTACCGGTCAGGTCTCGATGGTGCCGGACAAGGGAGGTCCAGCCTATAAGTTCCAATGTGTGTATGCATACACTGGAAATACGTTAACTCTGAACAAATACATTAATACTGAGGTAGGATAGTGATACATAAAGAGATACAAATTTGGAACATGACACTAATATTTTTCTTCCTGATTTTACATAAGGAGTTACCTAGACCAATTAGCAGAAGAGATAAACGATAAACTACAGGAGACTGGCCAGGTGACAGTATCTGAACTCTGCAAGACATACGACCTTCCAGGAGACTTCTTGATACAGGTTACTTCATGCTATCTACACTTTCATATAGAAATGATTAATTCTGATTTGAAGAAATATTTCCCTCTTAGAGCAGCTGTATTATTCCAAGGATAGTTATATGAAGTCTTGCGTAGTCCTAAGAAGGTCGGTATTAAAACCCTAGGTTTGCATTTTAGTGGCTATGAACTGATTTAGCTTAAAATTTGCCAGTACAGAATTCCAGTACCTTAAATGAGCTAGGTTTCATCTTAGCCATTATGATTCTTTCGGAAAAAGGAACAACTATACTCTGAAAATGGGACTAAGGATTTGAAAACTGCCTTAAAGTGAAAGACTCAGTGGGTGCAAGCGAGGGATGTCATAGTATAGTTGATTAACTGATAAGTAAAAGCTTATAAGTTAATGCTATAGACTACACGCATTCCCCCCACCCCTTGCCAGGAAATTTTTTAGCAGGCTGGCCAACAGCCCAGCTCAGTCCCGGCTTGAACTGGGTTCTGGATCTAGCTCCACTGTGGTTCTGTGTTTAGAGTGTATTAGGAGCCAGGTGGGTAGGCAGACTGGCTCAGTTCCGGTTTATACTGGGTCTGGGAGCTCAGACCCCTCCCCCCGACAGGGCTGCTTGGGGATATAGAATAGTCGACTGATAAAATTCATAAGGTTAATCGAGTATTCAATTAACTGATATTTAACTTCCCTAGTGCAGGCTAGTTATCTTATCAAAGAGAAGGCTGAACTTGATCATAGTCTAAATACCAACATGAAGAATAGAAATTTGATAATAGGAGTACTCTTCACTCTAGAGGAGAAAAGTGGCTGAAAGTTGAATCTAGACCAATTTGAACTAAATAGAAACATCCACTTTTTAACAGTGAGAGTAATTCAGCATTGGAACAACTTAACAACAGTTGTACAGTAGAGCCTCTATCAACGGAAATTTTTAAATCCAGACTGGATGTTTTTCCAACAGAGGCTTCCCTTTGAACAAAATGCAGGACAATGTAGCACTTTAAAGACTAACAAGATGGTTTATTAGATGATGAGCTTTCGTGGGCCAGACCCACTTCCTCAGATCAAATAGTGGAAGAAAGTAGTCACAACCATATATACCAAAGGATACAATTTAAAAAAAATGAACAAATATGAAAAGGACAAATCACATTGCAGAACAGAAGGGGGATGCGGGGGGGTGGCATAGTACTTCCCTTTGAACAAAAGCTTTTCTCATTGAAAAGGAAATCCTATGATATGTGTTATGCAGTAAGTCAGACTGGATGATCATAACGGTCCCTTCTGGCTTTAATGCATCTGGCTTGGTCATCTAAACACTTTGTAGAGAATATTTACAGATGTAGTTTCTTTTTTTGTCCCAGATAATCTGAATATTTTAACTTACTAATTAGAACGCAAATCCTTTTTTCTTTTATCCAAGGGTTTTTGTTTTTTCTTGCTGCTAACTTCTACTTTGACATCTGGGAAGTGTGGGCCAGGGACTTCCTTTGACACAGACACAAAGGATTTAACTTGAATGGGGAGCCCCAGAAATCCCAGATCAAATGGGTTTCTTTCACAATGTGTACAGTCTTCATTCACCTATAACGATTGTAATGTGTGTGGGAGAAGGAATAGTTATTAAATAGTTCAGGTTATTCTATGTATGTATTAAGAAAGCTACCAGTTGGGTAAAAATAACACAATCTCACACAATCTTTGTGTGTGCATTTTATAGCATACTCTCAATATTCTTCAACAATTATTGCCATTTTAAATGCATTCTTATTTCTGAATGTGTTGATTATTTAGACCAATTAACTTTTGTAATCTCCAGTACAAATATATTTTCTTTTTTTACTGAATAACTGAAAACTTTTGACCCAATATTTCTCATGACTTCTGATCACAGGCATTGTCCCCCCGTCTGGGTAGGATTATCCATGGCCGGCTAGATCAGGACAACAAAGGAGTGATTTTTACAGAAGCATTTGTAGCCCGGCATCGGGCACGCATTCGCGGTCTGTTCAGTGCCATTACTTGGTAAGCCATATCTGTATGTAGAAATGTGTTTTCCTGCATTATTTATGCATCTGATTTATTTGTAATATAGAAAAAAGAAAGTAAAGACATGTATATGAGACTTTTTCCATTACAATTCATTTACTATGAGAGAATTTTTTGTACTTTTTTGGAGCAACATATAATGTGAGCAGGATAAAAGGCTTATTCCTAGAAAAGGGAAGGACTAGTTAGCTAAGTTGAGCTAAATTACAATGGGGAAATATTTTGAAAAATTGGCTAAAGCTATGCTGAAACTGGTCATGAATTCACTGTGAATTCTTAATTTTTCTGGAAAATGTCCCCCTTGTTGACTTAATTATAGATTGATACCCACCAGCTAAGCTTCATTTTTCAGAAATGTATCTTAAGGCTCTCTCTTGAGCAGGAACTTAAGTTAGTAGAACTTTAAGTGTGTTTGTTTTTATTATATTTATATTATATTATTTATATTGTATGATATTTATATTAGTTTAGTTCTGATATAGTTTTAAACCAATATGAATTTATAAGCTTCCTAAATTGTTTAAACCTGGCAGTAACTGTCTGGCTAATTCGCTTCATCAGTGTTGCAGACAATATCTTTTTTGAGGGGAAAAAGTAGAACTTTCAGTGTGTTTGTTTTTATTATATTTATATTATATTATTTATATTGTATGATATTTATATTAGTTTAGTTCTGATATAGTTTTAAACCAATATGAATTTATAAGCTTCCTAAATTGTTTAAACCTGGCAGTAACTGTCTGGCTAATTCGCTTCATCAGTGTTGCAGACAATATCTTTTTTGAGGGGAAAAAAGAATCCACAGGTACTTATCTTGTTTGTAGATTCTACTTCAATTTGAGAGTCTTCAGACCTTTTAATGTTTTTTTCCTTTTTATTCTTTATAGGCCTACTTCTGTCACTAACTTGATCACTCGGTATGGATTTCAGGAACAACTTCTTTACTGTGAGTTTCTTTCAGTTTTTGATTCTAAATTCTTTATTGTTGGAATTAAAATTATTTCAAATAAAACTATTAGTGTTTACTTTTGTCATATTTCATTAAGTGCTCTCAACTACTAGTAGACTTAACAATGGAGTACATAAAGACTCAGATTTCACATAGCCGAATGACATTAACTGCACAGGATTTTTATTTATTGACTTTATTCTGAGATAAGAGGCAGAATTTTTGTTATCCTATAACTAAAGGTCTTAATAAGCTGGGAGATAAATCACACTCTTCTTTGTGTATATTTTCTTTTGTTTAAATAAAGCCTCACAAAATTATGACCCATGAAGATTTCCTTGAATAGTCCCTGATTAGTTCTCACATCAACTATTGCAGCTCCTCTTTGACTATCCAGCTCTCATCTCTGCTCTATTCTGTACAAAATGCTACCTCAGATATCACCTGTCTTGTTTGTGGACTGACCATGTCCTGCTATCTCTATTTGCTGGCTTCTGTATCTTCTTATATTAAAGATAATCTCCTTTTCTTGGCCTCAGGGCCTCACATGACTTAATTCTATTAATGTCCCCATGTTCCCTTTCTTCTTTCATTCTACATGGCTAACTGTACCCCTATCAACAAAGCCTTGCCGTGGGGTGCCCCCTAGCTCAGACACCCACATCTCCCACCCACCCAGAGCCCAGCTGTAGGGCAACCTCCAGACCAGAACTGAGCCATAGGATGCCCCACTAGCACCAGAGCACGCTGTACCACACATATTCCCAAACACCAGAACTGCAGGTTTCCCCTAGCTCAGACACTTGTGCCTCCTATACCCTCAAAGCCCTGCTGTGGCATGCGCCCCAGCTCAGAAAGTTGCATCTCCTACCCCTTCAGAGCCCAGCCACAGGGCAATCTCCAGCCCAGAACCCAGCCACAGGCAGCCCCCCAGCCCATTCTGCTGCACCCTCTGTCCTCCGAGCCCTGCTGCAGGGTGCCCCCTAGTAAAGACATCCACCTCTCCTATCCCCCATAGTCCTACCAAGGGGCACCCCACAGTCCAGAGCCTAATTGTTGGGCATCTTCCAAAGCCACAGCCACAGAGTACCTCCCAACCTTTTCATTCGCAACCACGTTCCATATACTCCAGAGTCCAGGGATCCAGAGAGAGAAACATCCTGATGCAGGGTGCCAGACTTGTAAGGCATTTCCTGCACTCTCTCTGTGTCTTTTCTTCAGGATGTGCTGGGAAATACATCTGTGTGTAACTCTGCCATAAAATATTTTATTGTCCCATCCTGAGAAAGGTAGCTAGTATATCCACTCTCATGTACCTTGTACTGTTGTGATAATTCTAAGCACACCATGAGTACTTGCATGATGATAACTTTCTAAAAGAAGATCCTATAGTGTGTCCCTGCCCCCTCTTTTTTTTTTCTAGTTGAGTCCTGGGGATGATACACATCACTTCTTTATCCTTTTTGTGAGAGAAGGGGGAAAGCAATTTATCACTTGTTTGTTCTCCTGTCTGTTTCTGTTAGTGCTCCAGTCACAAATTCCCTAATAATCACTTAAATTCAATGGATGCTTGCCATAAGGAAGGGTCTCCATATGTTACTATCCAGTTGTGTTCCCCTTGCTTTCTGTTTCCATTCTTGTTAACCAGTTAAGGAGGTTCTGTGTTAGGTATTACCATGTTGTATTTTATTCCAGGATAAATGCATGGCTACTTTGCCTTTTAATGAAGTAGAACTCAACATGTTCTATAAACTAAAACCTATGGAAAAATCCATAAAATCATAAAAAAACGTAGAGCCTGGTGCCTCCCTCATTTATAGGGTTGTTGTTTTTTTTAATATAAGCAATGGCATGTAAAAACACAGGAGGATTATGGGATGGTGAACCTTGCATGCAACTGGAATAAATTGAAAATACACTTGAACCTCTATTCTCCAGGGCTGTGTCTACATTGGCACCCTTTTCCAGAAAAGGGATACTAATGAGACAAGTCAGAATTGCAAATGCCGCGGGGGATTTAAATAAAGCCTTTTCCGGAAGATCCCTTATTCCTCTTAAAATCCCGAGCTGGAAAAAAGCGGCAGCCATGTTCATGCAAATGCCGCGGGGGATATTTAAATCCCCTGCGGCATTTGCAATTCCAACTTGTCTCATTAGCATCCCTTTTCCGGAAAAGAGTGCCAATGTAGACACAGCCCAGGTGTTTCTAACCCAGGAACACCTGTTGTATAGAGGAGGAAGCAGCTCTGCTGCTCCCCATCTCACTGGCTGGGGGAACAGCAGCACAGCAATGTGCTTCCTCTGTGGCTTTTCCTCACTGCACCAGTAACAGTGAGTGGGGAACACACATGTGGCTCAACAGGAACAGAGCACCAGATAAGGGTCCCACCCTTAATGTCCTCATGCCCAGACCCTGAGTGCCCTGTGTGGTCCGGCAAAATGTTTAATCTGGTATATCCAGGTTTCCAGGGTTGCCAGATTAAAGAAGTTCAAGTGTAGTATGTGTGTTAAGATGTCCTTAATAATTTAGTACTAGTGATTGCCAATATGTCTTTTGCTTGCAGTGTATATTCATATTAGTGGATTGCTGCATATGAATGTGTTGCTGATTCTTGGTGTCAAGGGGTTAATTAAACTTAGAAGTTTTGAAGATCAACTGTAGTCACCAGCAGGGATACAGGCTCTTGCATCTGGCTTATAGGTATCCAATCTTGCCATGATTTTAAAATGTTAAGATCAGAACTATTTCAACTTTGGTTCTGATGATTTAACACCTATCCAAAGGGAAAATTAACAAATTAACTTCATCATGCATTTTATTTGCTGGCTAAAGATCAGCATTATGACCAACTTTCTAGGCATTTCAGGAAATTATCAGAAGCATATAAAACTGTGGGAGCTCAGAATCACTTCATTAAAACAGTTACTGTTAGTTTATTTTGGTTTATTTTGGTTAGCAATGGGTAGAAAAAAAAGGAGGAATTACAAGAAGAAAGAAGGAAAAATAATTCCTAATTTTTTGCTGAATATATTTTACTGGAACTGTTGCTTCATTTGTTTTATTCTTTCAGCTGTGTTAGAAGAACTTGTTAACAGTGGACGTCTAAAAGGCACAGTGGTTGGTGGGAGACAGGATAAGGCTGTGTTTGTTCCAGACATCTATGCCAGAACACAGAGCAACTGGGTGGACTCCTTTTTCAAGCAAAACAGTTACCTAGGTAACTGATCTTCATTCTTTATGAATAAAAGGTCTTTTTTGGAAATTGATCTAGGTAACTAAAAGAGCCCTACTGATTCCAGTGTCTCTGACTGAGTCTTATAAGAATAATTGAAGTGCTTTCATTAGTAAAGGCTTGTTACTGCCTTCCAAAATGCATGCATATGTAACTGCGTAATCGCAGTCCCTAAATTTGCAAGCTGTGCTGTGTTTGTATTTGTTCACGTAGATGGCATTGTTGAGATGAAGTCCTGCATATTACTTTAATGATGAAAGAACATTGAGTGTTTTAGATGCCAACAGATAAATGTATAGGATATCCTTATTTATAATTCCATTACTTTATATGTATCGCACTGAAAACATCTGTTGCACAGTGTGCTAGACCCTTTAATAGTAGATGTCATAAGCCCAACTGATGGTAGGGACTTGGAGCTAGATCAGGAAAGGTATTCAGGCACCTAACTGACTTTTAAATATCACAGAGATTCCTTCTGGCCTTGGAATCTGAATATCTTCCTAGTTCTTATCAGAAGTCCTAATACTCTGTGGCATCACAATGGATTGTTATGGAGGTGAATATAATTTCACAGACAATTATGATTTCTGGTAAGAGATAAACTGCAAATGCGAATGAGATTTTAAAAAAGAAACACTCTTTTTCATGCAAGTGTCAGTGTTTGAAAAATCCATTCAATGTGTTGCTTATGGTGAATAAATAGGAAGCTTTCCTAGGGGGGTACCATCTTTTTTTCAGAACCTAAGCTTGCATTAAAGAAATCCATATGATTGTGAAGATGACATTCTGGTTGTGGATCATGTGTATACCAATGTATATAGATCTGCGGAATGATCATCCCCAATGCCTCTGGTGCAGCTTGAAAAAGAAGCTGCAAAATGAAAACTGACTAGTATTTATTTCTTTAAATTGCATGAATTGTGGCAGCATGGGTATTTTAGCCTATGTGCTAATTACATTTAGGTTAAATTTTTCAGATCCTCTTCTTACATGTAAGAAATAAAGTTTGAAATAATATTACTGGAGTTCATGGACATGCAATCAGTGAAATGGTTTCTCAATACTATGTTTTTTTCATGAGGCACCATTATCTCTTCAAGAATTTTAATGTCTTCCCAGTGAGTGTATTTGTACTTGGAAATTTTGATTTCTTCAGGCCCAATGAATGGATAAAACTTAACAAACTTTTTATAATTTTATAGAATTTGATGCATTGTCCAGACTTGGCATCCCAGACCCTGTGAACTACATAAAGAAAAGATACAAGTCCACAAAGCTTTTATTTCTGAAAGCAGCCTGTGTTGGTCAGGAAATTGTGGATCAGGTGGAGGCTTCAGTAGATGAAGCTATCAGCTCTGGAACATGGGTGGATATAGCGGTATGCTTTTTTTTTTTCCAGTGGGCTGTATTTCTTCCCTTTTTTGTTGGATGTCATCAAGTAATGTTGTTTTAAAGCAGAATTTTCAGTTTACTTAGACCTAGTAATGAGTGAAACACATGTCTGCTGGTTCCCCACTTTAAACTTGTCTGAAGCTGAATTGGGCTTTGTTGGTAGACATCTATGGCAAACTCATTCCCTGAATCAGTAGAGAGTCATTGTGTTAGGGAACATTTTACTTCTAGAGGTACCATTTGTCAGATGATATTTAAAACAGACTGACTGTTACACTCTTGATCAAAATAGGAGGATGTTGAATATTGTGTTTAGCTAAATTCTAATTTTAGCAATAATATGCTGCCTTATTTTCTAGCCTAGTCTGTTGGGCTGCATTTTTAAGCAGTTGCCATCTTCCTTTCTAGAGGTAGCTGTATATCATTGCTGGGTGAAATTAATTAGTGTTCCTGTATTCCTTTGGGATCTTTCAAGATTAAAATTTCATTTAAAATATGAGGACACATCTAGCTCAGATGTAAAGGAGTATATTTTAAACAGCTACCAGATGTTGTAGGACCTCTTGGTACATGTAAAAGTGGCTTCATAAAGTAATATTTTGTGCAGTGTGTATATATACATGATTTTGGTATTTTTTTAAATCTTAGACTCTTCTACCTAGTTCATTATCCATAGAAGATGCTGGAATTTTGCTTCAGCAAGTGATGAGATCTTTCAACAAACAATTGCCGACTGTAATCTTTAGTGACACTATTGTAGTCAGTGAGAAATTTATAAACAGTTGTACTGATCTGTTCAGTGATTTAATGCACCAGAAAGCCGAAAAGGTATGCTCTCAAGTATATCTGGATGTGTATGTGTGTTTTGTTTCTAATCATATTTGAATTTAGTTGTAATTTTTATCCTTTGTATTGTAATTTTGGTTTGAAAACTTATTCCTGTAAAAATGGCCTCATCAGATTCTTAGGGTTTGATATTTTCTGGAGTATTTACACAAGGAAAAATTATTTTAGGAATAGGATGTGGTATTGCATGCATCTGTGCAGATCTCCTCAAGTCCCTGAAGGGGCAAATTTAAGTGATATTATTAAGAATCAATTGCTGAGATTTCCTCCAGCATATAAAGTTCCATTTTTACATTACCAGTTCTCAGATCCTGACCACATAATGTTTGTAATGCACTAGATAAGAGTAAAATTATCATTCATTATTGAACTCTTTCTAAGGGTGAGTTAAAAGATCTGTAACTGACTCTGATTAAAAGATTCTATCAGATCAATCCATAGACCTCAAACATACAGGTGCACTGTATATTTCAGCATGTTTTACATCCATAGCCTTATTTTGATGTCACCTACTTCAGAGTAAATGAGAACCTCATTGAAATCACTGGCATAAAACATGGCTGTGTCTAGACTGCATCTCTTTTCCGTAAAAGGGATGCAAATTAGACACATCGCAATTGCAAATGAAGCGGGGATTTAGCGTAAACATGGCTGCCGCTTTTTTCCGGCTCGGAGCTTTGCCGGAAAAAAGCGCCAGTATTGACGTGATCTTTCGGAAAATAAAGCCTTTTCCGAAAGATCCTCTGGAGGAATAAGGGATCTTTCGGAAAAGGCTTTATTTTCCGAAAGATCACGTCAATACTGGCGCTTTTTTCCGGCAAAGCTCCGAGCCGGAAAAAAGCGGCAGCCATGTTTACGCTAAATCCCCGCTTCATTTGCAATTGCGATGTGTCTAATTTGCATCCCTTTTACGGAAAAGAGATGCAGTCTAGACAATCAGCATCAGGCCCTGTTTTAGTTGTTATTGAAATATGGTTTATAAATGTGTTCAGGGTTAATAAGTTGAGGAAATTCAAGAAGAATCTGAAAATTATGTTCACAATTTCACAAAATTTGAGAGTCAGTAATTAACTTGTTTTACTACAACAAAGTTGTGAAATATTGCCATGCACACCAGATAATAAACTAGTTGAACAAGGAATGTAGGTGAGATCAGGGAAATCAAAAGATGTTGACCAAGGCTATTTTAGGGAATAATTTGTCTGGGACATTTCCAAGTAAGTCATACAATAATAGAGAACATTTTAAGTTACTTTTTGCCATGTCATTTTAGCATTCTGGTTTGTTTAATAAAAAATTGCATTTTTTGAAAAACTTGTATTTGCTTATGCTATTTACTTGCTGGTTTTTAGAAAGTATGCTTATTCTCAGTTTTGCCTGTGTGAGCTTTTATTTTTCCATATGCAATTTTAATCACATACAGGAAAGCAAGAGTAAATCAGATCAGGAATCTGGAAGTGTTTTATCCAGGACTGTCCCTGTATTCTTAAATCTGTCTGAGTAAAAGAGTCTGTGTCCCAGTTTCTCTGGCGCATCAGCACTTACCCCACAACCCCCACTAGTCTCTAACTGCTGGGAGCCCTCCCAGCAGATGGCTTCTTGTTTATCTGACCTGCCCTCAGTTCCTTGGATGGCTGTCTGCTTTCACCAGTATCTCTCATAGCAAAGCTTAGCACAGCTGGTGCCAAGCAGTATCAGATCCCTAGTCTTATCACAGTGAACTGAAAGAGTTTAGGGGCCCAATTTCCCAATCCATTTTGTAACCACAAAAAAAGAGAAATCAAGGATTAGGGAGACAGAATAATCTCATGGTTTTTTCATGAAGTACTGACCTGGCCTGTCAGGCAAATACAAAGAGATCAAGAACAGCCTAAACTTACTCATATTTTGGGCCTTGTTTATTTAAGATATTCTTATGTACAGTTCCCTTAAATTCAGTAGAATGCACATACAAATATATGGTGACGAGGGGCCCATGAACACCATATTCTTTGGAGAATTATGTTTTGGAATATAATTATGGTATTAATAGTCTTAGGTTACAAAATGCAGTGCTGTAATTCTTCCCAATCTATTTCAGTAATTGCAGGTGACATATTTAAAACCTATTTAAACTTCAGGATTCATGACAATATTTGAGACAAAGCACTGTCTTTTAGTTTCTTGACTGAATTCATTACTGTAAAATTAAGGTTATTATTTTACTAGATTTGTTTTACAGTTCAGTTATTTCTTGACCAACTTTATCACATGCAGCTATCAGGACAGAATGTTGGGTTTGAAAGAGGAAAATAAGTGTCTTTTTCCTGTGCTGCATTTAGAACGTACTGTGTTTAAGACAGTATTTTTTTTTTAAATGTCTATACTGCAGGAATGGTGCTTTATTAGTCACAACCTTCATTTGTATTTTTAAATTAAACGAATTATCTTCATTCCAGGAAATGAAAAATAATCCTGTTAATTTAGTCACCGAAGAGGACCTGAAACAGGCTTCTATTTTAGAAAATGTGTCTGCTAATAAAAAAGACAGAAAGGATGAAAGAAGGAAGAAAGCAATAGGTACGGTACTTGGATTTATTTCTATTTCTGTAAAGGAGCACCTAGCTGCTTGTGGTCATACTTTCCGATGAAGTCAGAATGAGTTTTGAAGTCACAGAGTATTCTCCAAGCATAATTTGGTAGCCTGCTCTCTATTACTACCAGATAACTATTTGAAGGTTCACAATGTGGTTTTTTTTAATATATTCTGGACCAAATTCATACTGGGTCTAAGCATACATAACTCATAGCTCCATTTGTCAATAAAGTTGTTTACAATAAATCTCCATTTACTCCAGCATGTAAATATATATAAAATCCTTCTGAAATTTTATAGTTTTCAGTAATCACTGAAAAACTTTAATTAAGCTAAATATAATGCAATAAGTCCTGTATAGTTTTCACTAATCACTGAAAAACTTTAAGCTAAATATAATGCAATAAGTCCTAAAAGTTTAACAGAGCAATTAAGAAATCTGCTTCAGTCTCACAGTGTTGTGTTCTCTTGCAAGCAACAGAATCAAAACACTGATATATTTAGCTTAATTTGAGATACAGCATAACCAAATCTTGAAATAGAACATTAGTTTCCACTCTAAAGAGGCCAGCACTGAGTTGGCATGGAAACCAAACTTATTTCACCACAAGAGACAGCAGATTTTTCTAGGGCATTGTTGTTAAAGAGGAGCTTGAACTTTAATGAACTGTCATAAATAGAAAGCCTTCCACCCTGGCTGGTGTCTTACTCATGCACATAAATTACATGTGTATAAATATAGTCACATGCATACATGCATAATATATCTTGCATCCTGGCAAAGCTGTTTTCGTGATGTGGTGTTTTCTTTTTGGCCATTATGTAGCATGCATCAAGATGATCCATATCATGATTTAAGGTTCCAGATACCATCATGTTATAAACTGGAAATAATGACAGGTGCCACTTATTTCCTGTTTAGATGCTTAATTGGGAACAGTTTTATATGTATGAAATTCTAAAATATACTCATGGTGTGTTTTTGTGCTGAAACTGAAAAAAGACAATAAAATAACAATGGTAGTTTTTTTTGCAAGTTCATTCTTTTTAAAAAAAAAACTAAAAAACCTGCCATGGTATAGTTTCTCTAAAAAAAAAAACAACAACTAAAAAACCTGCCATGGTATAGTTTCTCTAATCAGGCTTTCACTCTATTCATCTTGTTGTCAGTAAATTATAGCATGCGTGCTGTTTTATTTGTGCTTTTCACAGATCATATCTTGGTTGCACTTTTAATAATATAAGCAGTGTGAAAGATAGGATGCAAATCATTAAATAGCTTTTTTTAAATAGATTTTTATCATTTCTGCTTATTGTGTTGTTAATTAAAGAATTGATTCCTGCTCAACTTAGGTCAGTCTCAGTTCAAATAAACCTGTTTCATCTAAAAAGTTGCAAAGTGCTAGGGTTACCCAAATATTTAGCTGTTCATAAGCCACATCTTAAGTATCACAGCTGTCGCTATTGTGGTCCCAGGACATGATTGAGGAGCGGGGCTTTGGAATTCATATCAAAGACATAGCCAGCAAATTTAGTGGCACAAGCAATTGAATACTGTCTTAGTATGTTTTTCGTAAGCAATAGTAGACTTAATCTTGTTTGAGTAGTTCAGTTGTTCAGCAGTGCTGACCTGCATTAATAAACAACTTATTTTCAGCCATCAAGTTCTTGTGTTGGGCAATGGTATCTGGTTTTGTTATCTAACGGGAGTGGTTATTTTACTGATGTTATTTACATTGTAGATAGATAGATATTGATATAAGAGTAGTCATATTTTTAGAAAGTTCAGTTTATTTTAATAATGAAGTGACAACTAAAAAAGTTGTGAATCAGCATGTTGTTGTTCTCATATTATTTAAACATCAGACTCATTAATCTGCATATATGTTGCAAGTGTCATTCATGATAGGTTGATAAGATTATTTCACCAGCGTCTTTGACAGATAGTTCGGCCTCATTTGTTACCATAATTACAAAATGTCATGTTAAGTCATGATGCTTTTCTGTGTCCTAAACAAAATAATTTGCCACCAGAGGGCAGTGGAAGTGTAAGAGGAGGAGGAGGTGGAAATGCCAGAGAAATCAGGATTAAGAAAACCAAGAAGAAAGGAAGAAAGGATGCTGATAGTGATGAGGAATCACAAGCAAGTAGTACAAGTTTGTAATTTTGTTTTAGGTATTATCTGTGTGCACTGGCATGCTCTAACTTCTGCTTTTGTAAATCTTGCTTTGTTTCTCTATATCCTATCTAACCAGATAAAATATCAAAAGATATTATTCTGTTGATAAGGTTAATTTTGTAAACAAAAACATATCTCAGTGTAAATTGCGGTATTGTAATATGTATTCATAGTGAGTATTGTAATCAACTCTTAAAGAAATCAAAGAAAAGGGAGTTAAAGAAGAATTTTTATTAAATTAAGAAAATATAGAAATAAACAACCTTGATTTCAATATGCAGATACTACTTGGTCTTTAAATATCTGCTGAATAACATATGATAAACCCACTCATTTTCATCTAGTTCCAAGTTTTAACTAAATTAACTGACAAATTAGAGGAGGTTTTGGAACAAATTGATAAACTTAGCAGTAACAAGTCACCGGAACCAGATGGCATTCACCCAAGAGTTCTGAAAGAACTCAAATGGGAAATTGTGGAACTATTAACTGTGGTTTGTAACCTATCTTTTGAATTGGCTTCCGTACCTCATGATTGGAAGATGGCTAATGTGACGCCGATATTTAAAAAGGGCTCTAGAGATGATCCTGGCAATTAGACGGGTAAGTCTAACATCAGTACAGGGAAAATTAGTTGAAACTATAGTAAAGAATACAATTGTCAGACACATGGATGAATATAGTACAATGCCAATATATTGAATATATTGCGTTGCCTCATCTAAAATAAGATATATTGGCATTGGAAAAGGTTAAGAAAAGGGCAACAAAAATGATTAGGGGTTTGGAATGAGTGCCATATGAGGAGAGATTAAAAAGACTTGGAGTTTTCAGCTTAGAAAAGAGGAGACACAGGCTAGATGCCCCTTTTTTTAGAAAAAGGTACGCAAATTGCACTTTATAATTTGTGTACCTTTTTCCAATTTTTTTCAGAAGAGGCTTTTCTGAAATCTGACCGGTCTGCAATGGGCCAAATTTCAGAAAAACCTCCTCTTTCAGAAGAGCCTTTCTTCCTCGTGAAACAAGGAAGACAGGGCTTCCAAAAGAGTGCATATGCTCTTCCGCAAAAAATGTCAGAAGAGCAACGCATTCCCTGGACATGGTGGAGTTTTTCCAGGATACCAGAAACTCCGTACTCTAGACATAGCCCAAGGGGGGATATGATAGAGGTCTATAAAATCATGACTGGTGTGGAAAAAGTGAATAAGGAAAAGTTATTTATTTATTCCCATAATAAAAGAACTGAAATTGAAATGAATATTAATAGGCAGCAGGTTTAAAACAAACAAAAGAAAATTTTTCTTCACGCAGTGCACAACCTATGGAACTCCTTGCCAGAGGATACGGTGAAGACTAGAACTTTCATAGGGTTCAAAAAAGAGCTAGATTGATTCATGGAGGTTAGGTTCATCAATGGCTATTAGCCAGGATGGGTAGGAATTGTATGCCTGGCCTCTGTTTCTCTGGAGGTGGGTGACCGGGGAGGGATTACATGAGGATTACCTGTTGTGATTCCTCCGTCTTGGGGCATTTGGTATTGGCCACTGTCAGCAGACAGGATACTGAGCTAGATGGACCTTTGGTCTTACCCAATATGTCCGTTCTTATGTTCAAATCCTAGTGATGACTAGAAATAACTAATCTTTTTTCCTTTGTAAAGGAAAACATCCAAGCAAGTTTTTAACTTCAGTGAGTTATAGTTGTTGCAGATGAAAAATGAGCACAGTTATAACACTTAAGTTTCTTTTCTAAATTAAGGCAGAAAGTTATTGCAGATGAAAAATGAACACAGTTACAACACTTAAGTTTCTTTTCTAAATTAAGGCAGAAAACTTTGTGTGCTATAAATGTTGACAAATTCTAACTGTTTAATGGTGACTGTTATAACTGAAGTCTGAATGAAAACAGTCTTAGAAGTTTTATGGTTAAACCCATTAACTCTATTTGTATAAGTCCCTAGAATATCTAACAGTAACTAAAAGCTGTTCCACTAGATTTGTGTAATTAATATAGGGCATGTTTATACTACAGCTACTAGAATGATGTTATATCAGGGCCACTGTTGTATCTTGGTATAGACTCTTCTGCATAATCAGAAGGGTTTTTTTCCATCAATATAGTTAATCCAGCTCTCCAAGAGATGATAGCAAGATCAGTGGAAGAATTCTTACATAATTGAGCTGCATCTACACAAGAGATTAGATCAATCTAAATATGGCACTCAAGCTATGAAATTTCATAGCACTGAATGACATGGCTAGACTGGGACATAGTGAGATAATTCTTCTGACTCCTCATCTACTAGATGAAATGTTGTCACACTGGAGGGTTTTTAAGTATAATCCTCAATAGTTTAGTTTCAAATCAATCATTGCAAATATTAATATATTGTACTAAATGTGCTCGGTTTAATAGTTTTGAGTGGTGTTGGTAGACATTCATTTACTGAACTCTTTTTCAGGTGCCCAATCAGTTAGACTAACAAACCCCTGTATAAATTGAAATTTAACCACGCACTCACTTCTAAGTCCTTAAATAAATAACTCAGTCTTTTCCTGTTTGTCCAACTTTTGTCTTTTATTGTCCCCCACTCCTACTTACCAGTGTTGCCTTTCCTGATGCCTCATTTAATTGTTTTTTCAAGTAGATCCGCATCTCTCTTTACACTGCACTTTATATGTGGAATCTCTTTCCTACTCTTCATTTCCAAGGCTTGCACACCTATTAATACCTGTAATACTCATTTCTTCTGCAGTGCCACAATAAATGTCATGCTAAATAAAAAATCAAAATGAAAAATACAAAGCCACCAAAATACGTTCATACATAAGCTGAGTATCCAGGCGATTGTATTGCTATAAACCACATTCCTTCCATACTGCTGCTTGTTCTCATTCATTGTGTCTTACAATGAAGATGTTAACCTGAAATAAAACATGCTTTGTCATGTTGTCTTGCTTTTGAGTAATATAAAAATAATCTCTTCACCAAGTAACAAATGTGAGAGAAATCTAGAACTGATATTTTTACCTTTTGTGGATAATTTATGAAATATATAGTAGTAGTCTTCAAGTCCCCTGAACAGAAATATCAGTCTTTTTATTTGTGAGACAGTTGTACCATCATCAGTGGCAAAGTCACATGGCTTGAGATTTGCTGCTAATTTTTTTCGTGTTAGGGGTTAGAGCTACCAGACATTACAATGTCCTGTGCCATAGGATAGTTTTAAAGAAATTCATCTCTGTATTCTGCCATTAGAATGTTGTTCATGGCCATTACAGGAAAGAATAAGCACTTGGAGATTCCTTTCATGACACAGGAAGAGATTCAAGATGTTTTAAGGAGCTATATACATGACTGTCCTGAAGAGCTTATCACAGAACTTGCTGAACATTTAATAAGGTAAGTGCACTAATTCATCTTGGAAAAATTAGATGTGCAATGATTCAGTCCAAGTGAGTCTCCTTCTACTTGCTTTGACTAGAATATACTTTTCTCTTTCTCTTAAAAAAAATAAAATAAAATAAAAGTCAGTATTGTAGTGCTTGCTCTTTGGTGATGCTAGAATTGTAGTGCTTGCTCTTTGGTGATGCTCAGTATAATATTGCAAACCTCTTGGTAGGTCAGAAATCTGTGATGATACTGCTTTCTGGGAAAGGCTGCTGTTGTGCTACAGCAGTTTGTATTATGACATCTGTCAGTCAGCGTATTCTGTACAAGAAGAGTGACCTCAGAAAAACCACATGCCACTTTAAGTTAATCTTAATTGTCTCATGCTGCTCTCTGATCTGGTATCAGTTCAGTGACCATGTGGAACAGTTTATAAATAGCATCCTCACTGGGAGTATTATACCATTTTTTCCCCTCTTGTTTGGATTTAAGGGCAAGTTTTGTATGCCTTTGAAACTGAAAACATTGACAAGGACTTAACAATATTATAACAAATTGTGCTGTAATAAGTGCCAGAAAAATGTAATATGTAATATGTGCACATTTTAATACGATATCATCACTAACGTTCTATTACTTTTAAGTATATTTCTATATTTTTGTTGCATTCTGGAATGTTGTTCATGTGTAACAGAAATATAATAATGTTCTCATTAATAATGAATGTATTTGGAGATAAAACTATTAAAAAGAAATCAATTAAGAATGTCCTTTTGTTTCCTGTTCTGAGGTCCCTAACAGCAAGTTACCAGGAAGTGGTACGTTCATTGTTCATGTCTTCAACCTCTTCTTTATCTGGAGCTAGCAGGAGGCGGACCATCAAAGACTTGCAGGATGAGGTTTCAAACTTGTACAATAACATCCGATTATTTGAAAAGGGAACAAAGCATTTTACAGGTACAACAAATATTTCCTTAAACAAAGTATTAACACCTCTGTACTAGAAAGATGACATTTGAATACAATAAGGATGTAAAACAATGCTGTCATTGAGTAGAGTCTGCTTTATGTAAATCTAGTTGCATTTACATGGTGTAAATGCCAAGGAGGGAGAGGAATTACACTGGTACTGCAAGAGTGTAAAATGTATCTATAGGAAGATTAGGATGAAACTAAGAATAGGGAAATTATGCTGAATAGCGGGGAAAATATTGTGATTGTGACATCTGTTTCATGGAATAATCTCCCAAGTCAAGTAGCAAACCCCTCATCACTTGAATCGCGTAAAACACCAATGGACAAATCATTAGGCAACATACAGTAGTCAAGGCTTTCCATACTTGTTCACATTATGTACAACCTCTTAATTCAGAAGGTCTCCCCTCCCATTCACACTGACATTGATAGCATCGCTGTGGCTACTACAGTTCTGTACTTACATGTAAAAAGTAGCATTGGGGGGAAAACGAAGTATTTCTAGCTGTTTCTAATGCAGTAAGTTGTCATAAAGGCAGACATAGGGTATGTCTAGACTACCGAGTTTTGTCGACAAAAGTGGACTTTTGTCGACAAAACTATACCAGCGTCTACACTACCGCTGAGTTCTGTCGACATAACGTCGACAGAACTCAGCAGTTTTGTCGACGCTGGTATACCTCATTTTACGAGGCAAAACACCTTCTGTCGACAGAGTTCTGTCGACAGAAGGTGTTATTGCCTGTAACATTGCGTCCAGACTACGGGGTTCTGTCGACAAAGCAGCTTGCTTTGTCGACAGAACTCAATGTGTCTGGACGCTCTTTGTCGACGGAAGTTTTGTCGACAGTATCTGTCGACAAAACTTCCGTCGACAAAACGCGGTAGTCTAGACGTACCCATATATTAATCATACTTTCTCTTTTTGCCTTTCATTACATTTACCTCAATAAATAGCTGTTCCTCTTTATACTGCATGTGTTTTTGTGCACCTTCTTCCTTCACTCCTATTTTAGTTCCGTGAGTGTGCTGCTTTAACCTCTTGTCTCTGGAACCTTGCTGTTTTCATTCATTTTCTCCTGCTCCCTGTGATATTTCTCTCTTGTGCTGGCTGGCAGCTCCAGTCCCGCTTGTGGTTCAGGAGCAGCCCCCTGGAACCAGTTTCTTCTCATTATGTAGCATTATTTCCTAGAAATATCAGTTGCTCTGACTCTTCCATTCCAGTTGCATTTTCAAGCCTCCAGCTTCTTGCACGCATTGGAACCCCTATAAAAGCAGTTGGAAAGAAGAAGCACTTGCACCACATGTCAAGCTACCTTTCTGTGAACCGCCAGTAGTCTTTAGCCTGCCATACGGGAGCCGCTGTTGTATGGAAATCTGAAATGTCATGTGGATAGATTAGACAACATAATAAATTACTTTCTTACTCTGCTTTTTACTTACAGAAATAAATTGTATCTTACAGATGAGACGCAAACTAATCTTGCCAAACACATGCTGAAGACCATTTGTACAGACATCACAAATCTTATTTTCAACTCTCTTGCTGCCGATTTAATGATGGCAACGGAAGATTGTACTGCCATTACAAGTGAGGTATGTAAATAACACCTGTATTTTTCTTTAAGGCAGTTTCATTTTAATAAACACAACAATAATATTCTCATTATTTTAGTTATAAAGTACCGACATGAGGGTAAGTCTGAAATTTATTCATAAAATGGTATTATGTTTTTTTTCAACAGGTCAGGAAAAAGATTTTAGCAAAGTTACCTGAAGAGACCAGAGGTCCTCTGACTAAGCTACATGCTTCTCTGAATGGCAAGGTAACTTGCTCCAAAAACTTCACGTTCAGATTATCCATTTCGCTAATGCAGTACTTATAACCAGCTAAGTTAAAGATTCTTGTCACTGTGCAAGCGGCATACAAATATCCTCAATTCAAATTCTTGTAAATCAGTTAAGAATAAGTACATCTTCATACCATAAACATTTTAAGGGGCTGGAGAGTAATCTCAATTTAAAATGCAGTTCCTTAACATTTATTTAGAACACTTGATATTTCCTTGATCCTCTCCCTAAAATTCTTGACCCCTCATCTCCATAGGCATTTAGTCATCATACTCATGGATACTCAATTGTGAATTATAGCAGCTGTAAAACAAAACTATTTAAATATATACACTTTTAAAGGTTTAACAGGATTTTATTTTAAACAGTCATTTTCCCCTGCTTATATTGTTTATGATTTTACATCACTATGATCTGAATGCCAAATTTAGAACAGGGAAAAATGAGATGCTATAAACTGGATTTTTAAGCCACTAAGCACAAATTAAGTGTCTATACCTGCGTCTAATTTTTTGTAGAGTTTAGAAGACTTTCTTTTGTGCCTTGATTCTGCAACAGATGCTTGTGATATTATGGTGAAAAAAGGGGACAAAAAGAAGGAAAGGTAACTTTTAAATTGTATTCATTACCCTATAAAATTGTATGAAATGGGATATATAGCACTATTTTGGCATACATTTTAGATAATTATCTTGTAGAAATTTAACACACAAGTAGATAAGGGGTGAAGAGAGAGATAAAGTCAGGGGCCTTCTTTTTAGGCAAAGATGAGGCATTTTTCCAAAGATCAGATCTTTAACTTGCACATTATGTACCATCAGCAGCGAGGAGTCCTGTGGCACCATATAGACTAACTGAAATCTCCTCGCCGCTTTTGCAGATTCAGACTAACACGGCTACCCCTCTGATATTGTGTACCATGTTTGAAGCTATTTTTTTTTTCTGATAGCAGAGTTGGTTGCTTTATATCACTTTTTACAGAGAGAGAATTTTAAAAGTCCAGGGTGGGATTTTTCTAAAGCTCTGAGCTTGGCGTGTGCTGAGCACTTTTGAAAATGCCATCCATTAATATTGAGAATCTGTCTGTTGGGAGGCAACAAGTTAACATCCATCAAATCTAAATATACATTATAAATTCCAACCTGATGAAGAAAAAAAAATCACTATGCACTTCTTGTTTCCTAGGCAAATTCTGTTTCAACATAGACAGGCACTGATTGAACAACTGAAAGTCACAGAGGATCCGGCTCTTGTTTTACACCTGACATCAGCCCTGCTGTTTCAGTTTTCAACACACTGCATGCTTCATGCACCAGGAAGATGTGTACCACAAATCATTACTTTCCTAAGCACTAAGATCCCAGAGGTATTCTACTTATGGAATAGCATGCTAGTGTGTCTTGCTGTTTTAAGCAAAGCATGGTACAAAGCAGAATGAAACTGACTTATTTGCTTTTGTTACCATTACAGTGATACAGACTATAAAACTCTTCTGTTTTATCTGGCTCAATATGTTTATTGGCACTAGCTCCCTAGCCTCCTTCCATGGAGCTTCATCTGTCACAGGTCATCTGTAAATTACAGTGATCTGTGAGGATGATTCAAAGCTATGAGGTGTTTTGATGTCAAACTCTTGATTATAGATTAAAGGTTGCCATTTCACTGAACCATTGATGGTCTATGGCAGTAGTCCTCAACCTTTTGGGGCTGCCAGGGGCCCGGCATGTGCCGGGTGCCCAGGGCGCAAGAATGGCTCGGGCCAGCCCTGGTCACTAGGCGGGTGCACATAAATGCCCCGGCGGGCGCCATGGTGCCCACGGGCACTGCGTTGGGGACCACTGATCTATGGGATCCACCACAGAAGTCTATGGGTATCTGCAAATTTATTGGAGTCACCTTCCAAGGGTAGACCATTGAACAGCCTTCATTCTATAATCTTTACCTCTTCTCAGTGAGAATAAAACCTGACTTCTTTCAATTCAATTTTAAAGGGAATATAGGGTGTGCTCCAAAGTGTACTTAAAATGGCTGTGTCTTAATCTGCTGAAGGATAGCTGTTCATGGTATAGCACGCTGTCTTCCAGCATGTTGTTTCAGATACTTTTTCATTACTACAGACATTTTATTTTTGATATACCATAACATATTTGTGTGACAATTTAGATTGTAAAATGGTTTGATGGAAAAATATTGGTTGACTGTAAGCACATGAAGTCAGCTGTGCTCCTTTAAATAACTTTAACACATTTCTTTAATATTTTTCCCTCTCAGGATCAACATTCTCTTCTGGTCAAATATCAGGGATTAGTGGTGAAACAATTGGTCAGTCAGAATTATAAGATTGGACAAGGGGATGACAACACAGTAGATAACCTAGTAGAGGAAGAATGTGCAGACACTGTTCGAAAAGAACTTCAAGAAATCACCACCTCTCTCAAAGATCTTGTTCTCAGGCCCAGAAAATCTTCTGTCACAGAGGAGTGACTGTCTGTCTAAACTTAAATCCAGCAAACAGAATATTTTTTTCTTAAATGAGAAAGGTGTTCATTGTGTTGGGATAGTGGAGATTGATTGAGAGAGCCTTCGCTTCAGAAACTTTTTCTTTACCCTTTAAAATTGCAGACTTAAAGATAACAGACAGTGATGGATATGAATTTTGATTTACAGTCTTAAAAAAATATTATCCCAGTGCATGCAATGTTACACAAGACATTGATAGCAACACTGGCTATGAAATTAAAATTCTAAGATGACCCCTTTATATAGCATCTCAAAATATTGGTATTCTTTCAAATGATTGATTGAGTATTTTACAAATATCTGTGAGTTTATAATTTGCTTTTCAGACCAGGATTTTTTCCCTTTTTACCTGTATAGTAAATATCAAAATGTAAGTTTGTCTAGATTCCACAGCTACGTTTTAAATTTATGTTTATAGGTCTGTAATAGCATTGAATGAGAGGTCATCTTTCTTTATTGATCTCATGAATTGGAAATTTTTCAGAGTATCCTCCCCCTTCTCTCCCCAGCTATACAAAGGCAAAATATAAAATGGTCAAGCACACCCGCATAACATAGTCAAAATATCTGATTGGTTAGAGTAAAGCTTTTAACCAGAGAGGTAATAGTGATTAAGGATGGATTTCTTTTTTCAACAAACTCCAGTGAATTCTGCGCACACTATTATTTTTCATTTCATTTTCTAATGATTTGCAATAAAACTGTTAAGGTATGCACGTGATCTGTATTGGGTTTATAGGGATTTTTTTGAGGAGGAGAAATGGGGAATGACTTCTGTAGTTAATGTACAAGTTAGATTGTTTAGGAAACATTTGCTACCACACAGTTTCAGATGTGACTCCTAGAGAAGTTTCTTAAGGGGTGTATCCATATCCGTATCCACGGATATGGATACAAGGGGTATATCAATATCCATTACAAATACTGTTTTTATTCGAGGGAGTTTGGTCCAGAACTTTGTTCACTTTACCATATGTTTTTTTTAAAAATATTCTGAAAATAGTAACCATTTTGAGTATCTGCTATAGTGTTTTTTTCTGATGTTAACCTATTCCAAGTGGTATTTGATATTATTTAGCTATATTTTTGTCATGCCCATTGTAATTTGTATCCTCATTTGTACATGGGGTATATTGTGTGTCTTAGAAAAAATATATGTAAAGAATACCAACTAAAATCTTGCCAATATTAGTTAAGTATATAATTTGTGTATGTCAGTTGTATATTTTTGAATTTGTTTTGAAGTTAGTGCAGTTTTAATTTAGCAAATCAGTTTCAACTTATCACTGGAATATGCAGTGATTATACTTGTTACCTAGCTGCTTGCATAAAATCAGGTCTTAATAGTAAGGCAATAGACATTGATATCCAGTGAAAATAATAGTACAGTAGTTCTAAGTATTCTTTCATTCTTGCCCAAACTCTATTAGCACTGAACAAAACCTCCTGTAAGAATGCTATTAAGTTGCAGTGGTTGTTAAATTCCTGCAGGATGTGTGCAGAATTGTGCATTGGGTAGAAATCAACCAAAAATGTCCCCAAAACTTTGATTGCAACAAAAGAAAGGTGACTTGAAACTTTTGTGTTCCTGCATTTAGGCTTATTTTAGAATGCAGTTTAAAAAAACAGAATCGCTTATAAAAAATTACTAGATTACTGTACTAAAGTCAATAATATCTCTACAAAATAGCATTGGTTCTGTCCAAACTGTAATACAAAGGAGCAACTCCATCTCTGCCCTTTGGATTTAGAGGCAGAGACAGTTTTGTCCATCATCCTAGTTGGAAGCCTCCATATAAGCCTGTCACCTGGAAATAGCAAAAAAGAAAATATTCTGACTGCTTTCACTTTGTTTACAAAAATGGTTTGCATAAAATAAGTATATTTATTCTCTTGTTATTGAATGAAAATAGTTATAATTTTCCTATATTAAATGTACACACTTTTATATGGCATTGATTTTGTAAATAATACTCTACAATTTGATATTCTTTATGTAAATATAATTATTTTAATAAAATTAATGATTTAAGTGGTTAAAATAGTTTCTGCTGTTGACTTAACCATAGATATGTCGATTGGACTTGCACTTGTTGCTTGCAAACTACAGTTGTTAATGTGCTCCATTTAATTTGTTATACTTGCCAATTTTGTGTCCTCTTTTTTGCTTAAAACTGTTGTAATACATAATAATGAATTAATACAAGTCTTCTATGTAATGCAACAGATTTTTGTTACAAATATAGGCCACATGATGAGAATAATAAAAGGAACATTCTTTAAAATGGATAGGAAAGAAGTACTAATGTTTCGGTAGTGGTCTCTTCATAGAATTTTCAGTGGTTAATTATGAGAAACCTTCATTGGTGTTTCCATGCCAGAAAAAATAAGTATTGAATATCTGTCTATCAAGTGTAGAGGTTAACATTCCTAGATAAAGGTGTCTTTAATTACAAGAGAGAGGAATAAATAAAATATTTTCCCCCAAACACTGTGCTAATGATTTTTTTCCTGTATATGATGCACGTAGCGGCTGGAAAAAAGGAAAGGATTCATTACTATTCTTAGGATTCTTATTTTAATTATCAGCTGTTTAGTTGACAAAGCTGCCTATTTCTTTTTCAGATAAATGTACAGTGTAGCTTAATTTAAATTACATTTTTAAAAAGAGCAATATCATGGACAAATTGCCCCCTTGTTCCACTCACTAAAAATACATGCTTCATAAAATTTCTTGTATGAAGTCTCTTCCAAAGACACTTGAAAAACGGGGGAGAGGAGTAATTAATCTGAGAAACTCTTGAGATTAAACTTCAAGAAGTGATGACATTTAAAAACTGTTGTAATTGTACTCAAAATTAAATGACTTGCATGAGAGCAGTCAAAGATTGCTGATGTAATCTAACAGAGCTTGTCCTGAGTTTCTGATATTTAGAACTTCTGCTAAAGCTTTCTGTATACCTTTCGATTAATGATTTAAATGGCTTCATGTTTTTTACCTTAAGACTTTTGTAGCCTTTTTGAGAGACATTTACTACTGTGATGGAGAGCATGGTTATAATTGGAACATAAAAGTAATGATCATCTGAAGCTTCTGGATTATTGAAATGCTTTATTGTGGGATCAGAATGCTTTCTGATATTTTAAATAGCTACTCATTTTTTAAAGTATAAGAATACGTTAAAATAGGTTGAAGATCAATGTAGTAGTGAAATGGATTTTAAATTATTTTTATGAATTGTCAGAGATAGAAACCTTGCTTAGAAAGATACATTTGAGTGAATCTTAAACAAAATTAAAGGGGAAAGAGCTCTTTGAGAGGCTCATGTTAATGGCAAATACCATGCTAATATCAGTGAGGGTAGAAGTGGAAGTTTAGGTCAAATCAGGGTGGTTTTGTTACCAGGTTGGTCAAATAGTTTATTAAGAAGGGCTATGTGTTATAGCACCTCGTTTGGGTTTAGAGAAAAGGGCACTTAGTTTTCACATTATCCACTAATTAATTTCACTTCATGCTCCTTGAAAGGGCACTTAGTTTTCACATCCACTAATTAATTTCACTTCATGCTCCTTATTTGTGAAGGTTTTCACTTTGCTTTAAATGCTTAAAAAGACAACTCTCTAGTAAGTTATACAGGTATAGTCTCCATTCTGCAAGTTTCTTCTGAGAAGAAAAAAAACATGAATTGAAGTTTGGAAAATGTGATGTTCAATGGAAAATGAACATATATTTCATACTCTTTCTTGAAAAGAACATACTATTTGTGTAATTTGGTGTGCTTATCACGAAGAAGGCTAGTTCATGTGGTATGAGCTTTAACCAGGCCACTACTTTGAGTCAAGTTACATCCAAGCATCCTGTCAGTAGACAGCCTTATACAGTCACTCACGGCCCAGGGTCCTATTGAAGATCTACCACCTAGAAACTTTATTTCCTGGTATTTGCAAATTTTACCAAAATCTTTCAATGTAAGATTTATCGAAAGAGAGAAACAGAATTCTATTTCTTGGCAATGACATAATAATAAACAGCTCTTCTGTACACTTGACATGCAAGGCTTGATTAAGCCCAGAGATAAATTGGTTCATCATAGTGTAATCTAGGGAATATAATGGTGGAAAGCATGGTCTAGGGTCTGCAATGTCTCAAGCCACAACCAACAATCCTGTTTTAAGCTGCTTAATTTCAGCTGCTTAATTTTAACTGGATATAAAAAATTCACTGAAGGCTGGTACAACAGTGCAGTGAATGAACTGTTCTGTAGTGGGAGTGGTGGATAGTGTAACCTTAGCCCAAACACTGGTGTGGTTACCTCTGCTCCAAGTCTAATGAGGCCAGCCCTGAGATGAGCATTAAGAGAGGTCCAGAGAAAAGCCATTCACTTTCCACTGATATGAATCTAATCACCAGAAAACTGCATTGAAGGCATCAACCATCCCACTGTATAAATAACTAGCAGGAAGCTGTGATGTAATATTAAATCCCATAGCCCTTTTCTAAATTGGAAGGGTGTGGTATTTTAATGTTTCCCTTCCACCCCTACCCACAAAACCTATGCAGAATACAGGCAGTCCCCGGGTTACGTACAAGATAGGGACTGTAGGTTTGTTCTTAAGTTGAGTCTGTATGTAAGTCGGAACTGGCGTCCAGATTCAGACACTGCTGAAACTGACCGCCAGTTCTGACTTGCATACAGAATCAACTTAAGAACCCCAGGCGTCCCCAAGTCAGCTGCTGCTGAAACTGATCAGCAGCTGATTCCAGGAAGCCCGGGGCAAAGCAACTCTGCCTGGGGCTTCCTGTAGTCAGCGCTGGTCAGTTTCAGCAGAAGCTGACTTGGGGATGCCTGGGGCAGAGCAGCTGGGGTGCTGCTGGGTTGCTTCAAAGTAGGAAGTAGGAGGTGCTACTGGACCAACCCAGCAGCACCCCATCTGCTCTGCCCCAGGCGTCCTGATTCAGCCGCCGCTGAAACTGACCAGC